ATTCTTCCACTGTTCTTCAGTTGGACATGCTAAATATAAAGGCTGTAATGTATTAACAATAACAAGATATACTTCTTTCATTAACTGTCTAACAGTTGATTGTCCAACTCGGAAAGAAAATGTAATACTTGCTACTGAATTCCCTGTTGCAAGATATCTGAAAAATGTATCACAATTTTTGCTGTATAGTTTATAATTTCGTGAAAAATTTTTTCTAACAATGATTTCTAAACATAACTAAAAATTTAAAAAGTAATAATATCAAACAATTTCTTACTAATAAACTATATTTACCTTAATGTTATTATTAACCTGTGTTCCGGAGACAGAGCTTTCTTAGTTTTTTTACCAAATAAGGTCTTAGCATGGTTGATAACTTGTTAAAATATTGAACATTCATCCTGACATATTTGACAAACATGTCTTCATCAGTTTTTAATTCTTGAAACAGATTTTCATTCTCCTTGCTGTTTTCTCTGTTGATTAATTGATCTCACGAGCCATTTTCTATTTTGCCATCTTTTGTGTGTTTTCCTTCGTTTTAGTCTCATATAATAAATTAAGAGTAATGACAACAATAAACATTTTAACTTTAAAGACTTTGATGTTTTCATATTTGTTGATTTGAAAACCTAAAATTATATTTCAATATTTATATGTCAAACATATTTTAAACATAGTGTTGGGAAGGAGTGGGTTTCGATTGACCACGGTACGATTGGATATAGATTGTGATAATTGGTTCGATATAGTAACTAGATAATTAGTAACTATAGTATCGATACTATACTATATCGATATAGTAACTAGATAATTCTTTTTATCGATTGGTTATGTCCAATCGTACCGTGGTCAATCGGAACGCTCCCGTTGGGAAGAGGTTATAACGCAATGTTTATAATTTTGTACATATACATTTAACAGTTTAATAAAATTAATATGTGCTTAATATAGATATTTCTAATTATGACTGTAAAGATAAATTATTATTGTTTCTTTACTTGTTGTTCAATAATCTGATTTAATTACCTTTGTCATAGAACCTCTATGTTCCTTTGTAACGTAACGTAACGTAAAATTTTCGTACGTTGCCGTATGTTCAGCTTACGTCTCACGTAACGTAAGGGTACTATTTCACGTGTCGTACGAGAAGCTTTACGGATACGTTTATTGGTTGGCAAATAGAGTATTTTTAGGTTCTCTGTTCGTCAACCAATGAACGTATCCAAAAAGCTTGTCGTACGACACGTGAAATATCAGCCTAATGGCTCCTGTACACAGGACGCGGTAATGCTTACCGCGCGGCGGAAGTCCGCGCGATACCCAATCAATGTTGTTTTTCCGTAGGAGCTAGAAGATTATTACGGAAAGCAGCATATTGATTGGCTTTCGTGCAAACTTCCGCCACGCGGCAAGCATTACCGCGTCCTGTGTGCAGAAGCCATTAGTGCTTAAATATTTCAGTGTTTAGTATTACAAATACTACCTTATGAGTGATTTCAATACTTAAATATTGATATACAATAATTCGTTCAATGATAAAATACTTACGCAGACCATTATTAATATTTAAATACTAATATGTAATACTTTGCTAAATGATGAAATACTTACGCAAAGTACTGCCAAAATTTAAAGTATTAATCCAGACAGTACAAAACATTAATGATAAATATTTATAAATATTTATT